AGACTAATAAAATAAAATCACTCTAGCTAGCCATCAAACACATTGATTGATTTTTTCGGTGACAGTGGTGCTCTCTAGAATTTCAGATGGTTCCAAGTGGAAATGCACTACCGTATATGGCCCCAACCTAGAGAACATCAGACTGGCTTTCTGGGAGGAGCTTCAAGCCTTAACCTCCATCAATCCCTCAGTGTGGTGCCTCGGGGGGGGGTTTAATGTCAATAGGTGGGCACATGACCAAAATGTTAACCATTCCATCTCTCCAGCCGTGGTCCAATTCTCAAATTTCATATTTCAAAACCACCTATTAGATCGATTCCCTTGAAGAGGCCCAATGTACTTTGTTCAACCACTCCCTTAACCCATCTCTCTCTAAGCTCGATCGATTCCTAAACTCTATGGAATGGGATCCATTTTTCTTGGAACCCACTATGTGGCTACCCAAGCCCGCTTCAGAGCATTGTCCCATCTCCTAGATATCTAGGCTTTATCCCGGGGACATCGGCCTTTCCAGTTTGAGCTTATGTGGCTCCAAGAACCAAATTTCACAAATCTGGTCAAGACCTGGTGGGCCTCCTACGCTAATTTTGTTTTTGGCTGGGATCGATTCTACTTCCAGAGGAAGTTGCAGCTCCTGAAAATTGACCTCAAAAGGTGGAGCTCCCAACTACCTGGAAATTTTCGAGCCCAAAAGGAGACCCTTTTTGAGTCCATAAACCAGTGGGACGCCTCTAAGGAGTCTACTGGGTTTCCCCAACCGACCGCATCCTTCGCTCCAAGGCCCAAGTAGACTACCTCCTCCACAAGGACGAAATTTACCGGTCACAAAGGGCAAAAACCAAATGGCTCAAGCTCGATGAGCTCAAGACGGGGTACTTTCATACGTTCGCAAATTGCAGAAGGCGCGAGAACTCTATCTTCCACCTCCAAGTTGGAAATCTTACTCTTGACCAACCTCCATTGATAGCCGAAGCAGTTGTCATCTTTTTCTCTCAGCTTTTCTCCTCTCCATCTAGCCCAATACCTTTTATGCACAACTTATCCTTTGCCACCATCCCTCCTGAAGCAGCCTCTCTCTTGGAATGTGAGTTTTCCAAGGAAGAAATCCTCAAATCTTTGTCCGACTTGAGCCCTGGCAAAGCCCATGGGCCTGATGACTATCCAATTGCCTTTCTCAAGTCTTTCTGGGAACCCATCAGATCTGATGTCATCAATTTTTTCTCTAAATTCCACGCTCGTGGGGTCTTTAGCCGAGCTATGCATGCCACCTTCATAGCCCTTGTTCCCAAGATTGAAGGGGCTGAAGAGCTAAAGGACTTCAGGCCCATAAGTCTAATCAACAACTCCTACAAACTTCTCTCCAAAGTGCTTGCTTCATGGCTTAGAGCGGTTCTCAGCTGGGTTATCTCGCTGACCCAGGGGGCTTTTGTCCAAGACCGCCAGATTTTAGATGGAGCCGTTATAGCTCATGAGTGTATACATTTGTGTGCAACCTCAAAAACCCCTAGCTTGGTCATAAAAATCGATTGGGAAAAGGCCTATGACTATGTGCACTGGTCTATCCTAGACGAGACTTTGAGAAAAATGGGTTTTGGTCCCAAATAGAGAAATTGGGTGCATGGTTGCATACAAAACCCTATTTTTTTGGTGCTTTTAAATGGAACACCTAAAGGTTTTTTTCCCAGCCAGCAGAGGTCTCCACCAAGGAAACCCGTTGTCTCCCTTCCTCTTTGTTATCGTGGCTGTGACTGAAATTTTCAGCTCTTCTATTTCTAGGCTATAACAAGCGGGCATGCTAAGGGGTTTTCGATCGAGCAGCAATGGTCCCATCATATCTCACCTCCAATATGCAGAGGACACTTTGGTCTTCGGCAACTCCTCGGATCAACAGGTCCATACCCTTCGCACTTTCCTCAAGTGCTTTAAAATGGCTACAGGCTTCAAGGTAAATTTAGCCAAATCTAACTGATCCGGCCTTGGTGCAGTCCCTGGCCAATATTTGGGGATCCGTTGTTAACGACTTCCCTTGCACATACCTCGGCCTTCCTCTTCGCCGGGGGTCACCACACCTTTCCCTTTGGAGCCAGATCATTGATAAATTTGATCAGAGATACGCATGGTGGAAAGGAAGATTCATATCCAAGGCAGGAAGGCTTACTCTTATCAAGGCCACTTTAGCTAACACCCCATTTTTCAAATGTCCATCTTCCACTTCCTAGCTTCAGTGACCGCCTGTTTGGAACGCATGATGAGAGACTTTTTCTGGTCTGGTGACCAATCCAGAAAGTTTCATCTTGTTTCTTGGCCCAAACTTTGCCTTCAAAAAGCCAAAGGAGGCTTGGCTATTCGTAAGCTCAAAACCCACAATGAAACCCTCTTGGGTAAGTGCTAGTGGCGGTATGCCACCCAACCCCAACACCTTTGGATAGAAGTAATTCAACACAAATATTGCCATGGAAGTGATGGCTGGTTTCCAGAGTCCCAAACAATAGGGAACATTTCGGGTTTTTGGAGGTTCATTCTCCACTGCCGCAACAATTTCATCCAACATGTTCGATTCCGCCCCCAAGGGGGAAGTAGGAGATTCTGGATGGACACCTGGGTAGGCCATGGCCCCCCCTGAGGGATCAATTCCCTGCTCTTTTCATTCTAGCAGGAGACCGCCACTCCTCTGTGGCCGAAAATTTCTGTGGCCTTGGTTCACCTAGACAATGGTGGTCTCTGTTTGGAAGGGACCTATCGGACCCTGAGCTAGCTGATTTTACAGTATTATCGGGACTTATGCAAACTGTTTTCCTTCTCTCTTTCGGCGAAGATAAGGTCATTTGGTCTCCCACAGCCTCTGGACAGTTTACGCTCTCTTCCTTCTTCCAGGCCCTAGCAGAGGTCAATTCTGATCCTGCCCTTTCTACAGCAAATATTGCTGCTTGTGCTTGGTCCCCTCAAATTCCACCAAGGATTCAATTACTCTGTTGGATTACCCATCACGAAAGGGCGTTGACAATAGATCAGATTCAAAGAAGGGGAGTGTCTGGCCCCAATAGATGCGCAATGTGTTTTGAGGCCGAAGAATCCAATATGCATTTATTCCTTCACTGCAGTTTGGCCATACGTTGTGGACAAACCTCCCTTGCCTATTTCGTTTGTCATGGGCTACCCCTAGCTCTATTCCAGAAGTGTTTCGGCTTTCCATCCCTTGGCCAAAGGCAGGCAGGTATCTCTGGAAAGCCTTGTTGCTGCGACCTTATGGGTCATATGATTAGAAAGAAACAACCGCATTTTCAGGGGCGAGTCTCTTCAGTCGATTCCTTGATTGCGAAAGTCAGGAACAATGTCTCCTTTTGGCTTTCAAATCATAAGCTCTTCAAACATTTTGCTCACTTCGACTTGTTTGGAAATTGGGATGCTCTCTTATCCCTCGCCCCACCTAGAATCTCACGGTCGTCTCTATGGAGACCACCTAACCCTGGTATAGTCAAGTTTAATTTTGATGGTTGCTCGCTAGGCAACCCTAGGCCTTCTGGTATAGGAGGCCTCTTTAGAACCCACGATGGCAACATGCTCTTGTCTTTCTCTTGCCCCATCGAATTGGCGAACTCAACTCTTTCTGAGGCCCTTGCCCTATTGAAGGGCCTTCGCAAATTCAACTCAAGCTGGAGCCTTGATCTCTTGGTGGAAGGGGATTCTAAAAACACTATAGCCTGGGCTTCCAAAGCTAGCTCCTGCCCATGGCGCCTCCATGACATATTCAAAGAGATTTCTAATCTAAGTAGGGGACCCATAACATACTGGAAACACATTTTCAGAGAAGCAAACTCCGCAGCAGACCTTCTAGCAAACGACGGTGCCCAATCCAACCGGGACCCCTGAGCACTATGTTACCCATAACTCTCTGGTTTTGCCTATGCTTGTACACTTGAGCTGTAAAGTATTTATTATGGTCCTTTGGGGTTTTTGTAAAGGGTACCACTTGTAGGTATGTAAACTCCATTTTATTAAAATACAAGTTCGAAAAAAACACACATTGATTGATCAATAGTAAAAACCATTAAATTTACTGGAAAAATACTTCCAAAAAACAAAGTACAGCCATTGATCTTGTAAAATATTTACAATACACGTGTGAACTTCAAACAACACATGCGCCTCACACTAAGTATTATAGACTTTATGCCTAATCTCCAAATCCATGCACCATGGGCCGCCAGCCAGCCATGCATCAATCAGTTTCAAAAATGACAAGACAAACTCAGCCATAGTCTTCTCAAAACTCCAGCTTACTTTTTTACAAAAATGTTCTGACTTATGAAACCATACATGGACTGTCTATTTAAAACATATGAAGTATCACTTAACAAAAGCGAATTACGGCCTTATTCCTATCATAGCTTATCAAAGCTACGAACATAAAGAAGACAAACATTATAGTTTCCGTCCTCACTTAACCAACATAACACTAGATGTTTTTTTGCTAACTATAATTTGCTTTGCTTATGAGTTTCTCTTCTCAACAACCCTGTAACAATGGTTTGTTAATAGTTCAATGATAATCTGCAAATTTATCTAACAACAGTCCCAAAAATTTACCATGAAGTACACCATTTCATGCAGTATAATGGGTCTAAGTTCCTTTTTTAAAAAAAAAAAAAGTTTAGTGGGACAGGCGTTGGTTGGTACCTGGTGAACCTCAAATAAACCACCAAAACAAATACCAAAAAAAAAAAAACAATTGGCAATAAAAAGCAGATCACATAAACCTAATATAGCATTATTTACCCTAATATACTCCCGTTATTTCCCTAACATTATAAAGGAGTCTAGAAAAACACTAGTAAGAACCCAAAAACCAACAAATTGATAACATCCAAACCTAAGAACTCAAAAGATTTCAAAGATCAATCCCTTGTTTTCCAGTGTTCACAAGGCACATCAATTGAAAAAAACAAAGGAAGTAAAAGATAAAACATTTGAAACATTATAATTCCACAAACTTCCATTACCTTGAAAGAATTTGCATGTCCAGGCCCATTTTCAAGGGCAAAGCCGAACCAGAGGTGTTCATCAAAACCATGCTCTTCAATTCTTCTTTCTGCTTCTTTTGCTGTACATAATTTTAAAAAAAAAAATATTAAAAGGAAAGAGGAAAAAATGAAATTTGGTTCAGGTAATCAGGAAACAGAAGCGAACAAAGCAATTTAAGGCTTTCAGAGGAGAGAGCAAAGAAGGAATACCGAAACTTGAATGGATTGGAGTGGGTGAGAGATAGTGATATCGCTCTTGACGCCTGGTAATCCAAAACGTAGGGCATCATGACCTCCTGCAACTTCATGTTTAACCTTCGAAACCTCCATCCCTCTCTTTCGCAAATCTCAAGACTCCCTCGTAATAACCGACTTTCCCCTCGCGCTTTTAGGAAAGAAATTTGAGTAACGACCCTACGCGACCCTCCCTCAATGTGATTAGGACAAAAAAAAAAAACCAAATATCATTCTCTTGGATAAAAGTTATAGCATGGGTGTTGGGCTTGAATTGATTTTTCTATAAATTTGTACTAAATTTAGTAGCGATCCTTTAAGATTTTATACACGATAAAAATCTATGTAAGATCATTTTTCAATAAATTTATATACTATCGAGGATCTAAACAATCAAATTAGATTCTAGCTCAAAAATTTTATTAAAAGAGATAGTTTTGATGTTCAAATATCCTCAAATTAATTATTTCCACAAGATGCATTGACATAAGAAAAAAGTTTAAAAAATAGTATATTTTGTAATGTATTTTTTTAATATTAATTTTCAAATTTTTATGGATATGGTGATCTACCCACTTTTTTAAAGTACTAAATTTTATAAATAAAGATAAAAATATGTTTTAGGGCTATCAAATTTCCAATTTTGAAACTACATTTCTCGATACTATTTGAAAGTAGGCTCTAATTTGATTGTTTAGAGCCTAAGTTTTATGCAAACCGCACCCTTTGAATAAACTCCTTTTGCTCTTTATATACCGAAAGACGAAATCAGTGAAGCGTAAATAGTGTGCTCCCTCGTGATCAAATTTTATACTTGTTCCCCCGGGTGAAAGACGTAGTTAGGAATATCCTGGGTATTTAAAGTGCTTTTAGATGAGCATTTAAAGTTAGGAATATCCTGAGTATTTAAAGATCTAAATATCCTGAGTATTTAAAGTTCTAAATATCATGAGTATTTAAAGTTAGGAATATCCTGAGTATTTAAAGTTCCCTCGGTAACTTATTCGAACATTTTTATTCCTCAAGTTTCCCATTTTTCACTTGAAAAGAAGAACCTTTTTTTCTGTGCCTGAGGCAGTAACTTAAATTTGGGAACATGGTTTAGCCAAAAGACCCTGATATTTATTTTATTGATGTTATTTATATTATCTAATATATATATATATATATGTTAATCATATATAATAATTGAAATAATATATTATTTTATATTATACTATATATAAACATTAGATAATATATTTCAGTATAATGTAATATTGTAATACTATCCTTAATAATAAACAATATATTATTTTATATTATATTGTATTATATAACATTACATAATATATCAGTATACTATAACATTATAATATTTTCCATAATAGTACTACTATTAGTATAATATATTACATAATATTATT